CAACCCCTCAATTGGCCCTACCCTGAGCGTGACTGAGGGTGGCATCGCAACCTTCTGATCCGCCCTGCTCTGTGCATGACAGGGGGCGGCACCCCAACTCCCCAATCAGCCCTGCTCTGAGCCCGACCAGGGGCTGCACCTAGGGATTGGGCCTGCCCTCTGCCACCCGGGAGCGGGCCTAAGCCAGCAGGTCGTTATCTCCCGAGGGGTCCCAGAGTGTGAGAGGGCACAAGTGGAGCTGAGGGACACCGCCCCCCCTCCCGCCAGTGCACAAATTTTTGTGCACCGGGCCTCTAGTATATAATATTAAAGATAGAAAAATGGTGGTTACCATTTTACTCTCAAGAGCTCTGAGGAGGGTGAAATGGGAAGATGTTGGTCAAGGGGTACAAAGTTTGTTATTCAAGATTAATTAAGTTATGGAAACCTAATGAGATACTATGGACTTAGCAAAGCAGCAGTTTATAAAAAGACAGTTTCAAAAGGAAAATTATTTTGTGACATGGGAAGTACATTTTTTCAAAATAAGATGGTTTATTTTTCATAAGTCCAAATATAAAAAATCAAAAAATGAATGTTTTATTTATTTAAATAATTCCTATTAATTCAAAATGGACCAGACATAACTATAAAAATCTATAAACCTTGTAGAAAAAAATGTATACAATAGAGTATTGTTAACTATAGTCACCATGCTGTATATTACATTCCCAGGACTTATTTAACTTATTACTGGCAGTTTGTACCTTTTGACCATCTTCACCCACTTCACAGATGAACATGGTCAAATTTTCTATTTTTTTCGTGAGAAGTTTTATCTAAATTATCTAATTTGTTGGTGTAAAATTATTCATGCTGTTCTCTTATTGTTTTCATTTCTGTAATGTAGGTAATAATGTCCTCTCTTTCATTTCTGATTTTATTAAATTGAGTCATCTCTCTTTCCATCTTAGCTTATCTAAAGGTTTATCAACTTTGTTGATATTTTAAAGATTCAACTTATAGTTTGTTGATTTTATGTACCGTTTCTTATTATTTCATTCATTTACATGTTATCCTTCTACTTGGTTTGAGTTTAGTTTTTCTTTCTTGTTTCTTAACGTGGAAGGTTAATTTGAGATATTTTTTATTTTTTATATAGGTTTTACAGCTATACATTTCCCTGTAAGCATTTCTTTAACCACATCCCAAAAGTGTTGGTATGTTATATTTTCATTCATCAAAGTGTTTTGCAATTTCTTACATTTTTTGTGACCCATTAGTTATTTATGATGTACTGTTTAATTTCCACCAATTTGTGAATTTAGCAAATTTCCTTCTTTTTTTATTTCTAATATAATTTCATTGTGACTGGACAATATACTTTGTATTATTTAAATAAATTTAAATTTATTGAGGCTTGTTTTAGTATTCTCTATGTATGTAATTTAGCTACATGGAGATAATTATAAATGAAAGAACTAAGAGTTGAAAACGATTGCATCTGGATTTGTGTGTTTGTGTGTGAGTGTGTGTGTGTGTGTGTGTGTGTGTGTGTGTGTGTGTGTTGTGTATAATAGAGGGAAGGAATGCTTATTTTCAAAATAATCTTTGTAGGGTTCCTTTAGTTTTATATTTCCACATATGTTTTCTTATTATTTTGATGAAAAACAAAAACTCAAAAAAAAAAGAAAATATATCTTTTGTGACAAGTTAGTATTTTGAAGCATTAAGCTATACCATTCTCCTACTCAATACCTTTCATATACAGTTATGCACACACATACCCACACACTTTTTTCAATAAGGGAAATAACCTTATATGTTTGTTTAGTAATTTTAATTTATAGGTTTTAAGTATGTCAAGATCAAGTTATATATTTTGTTAATAAATCTATATTGTGATTTTATATTTTCACACAATGGAGCTATATGCTGTTTTTAATGTCATCATTCATTTATAAGAGCATAATTAACTTAAGGGAATCCAAAAATTAGAAAAAATATATAATCCAACTTAATTCTGGTTACATGACTTTTTGGGAAGATGCATATTCAATTTGGTATTTTCATTTTTTATTACTAAAACCTTATAAATCTATTTCTTTTTTAAAAAATCTTTATTGTTGAAAATAATGCATGTGTCTCCTTTCTCCCCCATCAATCAAAGAACTTATAAATGTATTTCTTAATGTTTAGATTATAGATTCTAAAAATTTATTATAAAACTTGTATTTATATATTTACAGTTCTCTGGAGTGCTACACACTGCTTAAGATTTTGAATTGTTCTGT